AGCAAATTTATTAACCAAAGCATAGGCAAGTAGGGGCATAAAACACGTTAAGATCCTAACTTATCAACTCCCCAAAACTTAAGCCTTTGCTTGTCCTCAAGCAAACAAAATAAGACCCACCCCTTAAAGGAAAATCCACGTAATTCCAGCCATCCTAAGGCAACCTCAACAAGCATCAATTGGGACTAACAATTGCCCTCAATACGAATGGTCCATTAACACATTTAGCTTTTGAAAAACCATGGATCAAGTGTGACACAAGAGCATCAAGAGTTGACACATTTTATCAAAGAACTTATCTCAATTACTTTGGTCATTGTGGAACCCAAACTCACACATCCTCAACTCTCCCTAAGCGAACCTCACCTTTTAGAGTATTAACACACAAATCGAGGTTGATGGAGTTTCACTCATCTCTCTCAAGAAGAAGGTCACAAGTCCGGCTCTAGGTACCATATGCTTGCCCCTTATGTAAGTATCCACTAATGTAGGTTTCCTTCAACTCAAGATCCTATAGGGCTTTTGTGGAGTCATTATGAAAGCTTTTGGGTAAGGGTAGGACATGTTTTTATTCAAGTGGGTTCAATCTTCCCTTAAGCACTTCTTTTGATTCATTATGGCACAATTCTCTTGACTCTTTTGAGTATTTCACTTCTTTACAAGGGGTTAGAGAGATACATTGTCACTCTTTCTTATGCAATTCAAAACATTTCCCCTTTTCTACTTTTTCCACACCTTTTTCTTTTCACTTTTGTTTCATTTGACTCCCTTTTTATTCTTGTTCACTTTGGACTTTCTTTTTATCTTTTTCTTTTCTTGCTTTTTCATTGCCTTCCTTTTTCTTTTGCTTTTGTACCTTTCTACCACTTTGTTTCCTTTCTTGTCTCTCCTCCCAAACTTAGACATTTGCCATTACTCAAGGGAAATTTGGATGCCAAGAGAGGGTAATCAATTAGAACGGGTATAGGCTTGTAACATTGGTTCTTGAAAGAAAAGGTTTAAGGCTCAAAATGGTTAACTAGGGATCATCTTTTTGGTAGGCTATGGAATTGTTCAACTTAACATTCGGATCAAGGAGAGCCTTTAATCACTTCTCAAGTCAAATTTCACCTAGGATTTCGCCTCAACAAACATTCAGGGCAAGTTCTAGACCATTGGCTCGGGACTTGGACTCACAATTCGATTCCTCACACACACACTAGGGGATTGCTAAAGACATCGAGTCGAGGGCCTACAACGACCTTAGTTATGATTCAAGCACACAATGGTCCGAAAAGACCACATGATGATTGTTTGGTCAACGCAAGAGTCTCAAGGCCACGACTTTCACCATCCTATACACAACATTATGTCTTTGACCATGGGATCAAAGGCAAATGTGTTAGGCCCAAGTGAAGCTTTGCTTGAGGTACCCTTAACTACAACTATCAAAAACAAAAGAAAAATCAAAGAAACGGA